TGCAGGGTAAAGGACGCGGCAAGCAGATCCTGGTGCTGGGCCTGGATGGGGCTGGGAAGACTAGCATTCTGCACTCCCTGGCAACTAACCACGTCAAGCGCAGCATGGCTCCCACCGAGGGCTTCAATGCCATCTGCGTAAACACCGAAGAGTCCCAGATGGAGTTTCTGGAGAGTGAGTGAACCTGTTTTAGTATTGAACGTATTAAATGAGTTCCTGTCTTGTACCTAAGGGATCAGGCACATAGTTTTAAAGCTCAATGTCCCCACATGCCTGCTTTGATAATGTGAAGTTGTGATTATTTTCTCCTTGGGGATTCTTCTTTCTTACCCAGCCTCTTTGAAGGAGAAGACACAATGGTGTTAGAAACCAGTTTTCATTCAGCCCTGACATTCTGGGAATTCTGCTCCCAGAGAGAGATGAGTAATAAACCTGATTGGGTGAAACCAGCAGAGGTTTCCCCAATAAGCCCCGTGTTATGGTCTGTAGCTGTTGTACTGCTTCTCCTTGGTGCTCATGCCTGGCAAAGGGCAAGAGCTACAGAGAAAAAAATAATAAGTGAAAGAAGAGAGGGGCAAGAGAAAATCTTTGTACCCTTTCTGTTCAAAAGCCTCATAAGTGGTGTTTTATAGTATTTAAACAATCTTTTGAATGTCTGTAGCATTTTGTTAAAATTTCTGTACCGTCATTAGCTCTGATTAGCTTTGTGCCTGCAGAGGGTGTCTCCTGTGATGCCTTTGGTGCATCACAGCTGTTTGAGGTGCAGCTAGCTGATGGGAAAGGTGGAGTCCCTGGGGTCAGGTCACTTCCTGATGCAGAGAGGCTGACATCCAGCCTCATCAATGCCTGCCTTCTGTAGGGGCAGGAGCTGTTCATTGCTTCCTGCTGTTTCTTGCACTATGCTGTACCAGTGCTCAACTGGCTCAGTTGGCAGTTAGCCCATAGATGCCTCTGTAGCTTTAACAGGTCTAAAGGAGTTGTGCTGTTCCCAGGTAAGTTTTTGTGGTGTGGGGATGAGGCCACTTAGACAGAGTTTCATTCCCAGTCTTACTGCCATAGGAGTTTCTGCAGTGGCTTGGGGAGATCAACTTTAGAGAGATGCTTGTAGTCTGTGGCCCTTGTCTGGTATGTAAGAGGGTGTCTCCTACTGGGATGTGCTTTGCCTGTCTGAGCCCAGAGAAACCCACAGCGTCTCTTCTCCTCCCTGGGGATGGTCTGGGCCCAGCACTGCACACACCACAGCAGAACCTGTTGTTTCTGAGTTGTCCTTCCCTCTCTGGTCCAGGTTGGTAGTGCCTGAGATGTGATGGCTGCGATCTGACCCATGGGAAATGCAATGTCTCAGGCCAGTTTCAGCCAGGTAAATCCGTGCATGGCTCTCTAATCTGGTTACTTATGCAGTCTGTACCATTGCCTAGTCCAGGGGTTAGCAGCCTATGCTGTGATTGCATGGTACGAGGTGATCAGCAAACAGCAGGGGTTTTATTTTGCTGGCTTAGACAGTGGAAAACTGTTTTTTTTCTTTGTACCAGCATACAGATAACTGGATGGTATCTTGTCCTCTGCAGGTACTAGCAGCTCCTGGCTTCTGCTGAGTTCCTACAAGTTTGGGGGAAAAAAATGTTCTCTGTGAGGTTGCTGACCCCTGGGTTATGCTATGCATGAATACACATAACAAAGGGAGCAGTGCTGAGCCCTGCAGTATCACAGTACATAATTGGGCTTCTGTCTCAAACATTACATGTCAGTCACAGCCCTTTGGCTCCTTTCCACAGTGGCAGACTGGCAGGTACATTGGGCCACTTGAAGAGGCAGGTATGCTGTAGTGGGAAATGCTACTTCCCTTTCCATATTCTTGAAACTACTGAACCCTTTTGACTTAAGTGAAAGCAAAATTGTTTTGACACAAAGCAGTCAAAGAGGGCAATAAAAGATGGCTGTATAGTCAGACAATTTTGAAAAGAGCTTCTGTGGATAGGGAACCCCAGATATATTGCTTTGAAAACTTGCTACTTTTGAGAGGCTTGCACATGCCTTTTGAGCACCTCAGTACTCTTTGAGCAAGTTGTCCTGCAGTGTGCCTGGAGAAGACCTAGAGACCTGAAAACAAATCTGAAATACTTTCCCCAGAAAATTGTTTTAAGACCTAGTTTTGAAGGTGAACAGCTTTCCTCTGTATCCAGCAGTGATCCTCTGTATCTCATTTCTCCATGAGAAATGGAGAAATGGATGCTGTGCAAAGATTACTCCAAAGGGTTGCCTGAAGAGTCTGCTGGGATTTGATTTTTCTCTCTTTGTTAAGCACCTCTGGTTATTTACAAAACTGTGGGAGTTTTGAGCTAGTTCTTAGTGTCATACAAATACAATGAGAGCCCTCCACACCGCAGAGCTAAATTTCTCCTTTGGAAATTATACACCTTCTTTGTCTTAAAATGAGATGGGCATTTGGAGACAGGCTATATGGGGACGTTTGGTGTTTATGGACACTGAACCATTTTCTACTCTCCTTACTTACTTGAGAGCAAGAACCAACAAGGCAGAAAGCAACCGTGAAGAAACTGAACCCAGAATCTTCTCAAGATAAGAGCTTAAAAAGGAAAGACTTTCCCCCCCCCCCCCCCCCCCCCCCCCCCCCCCTGGGACATGACTGGGAAAAATAAAGCTGTTTTCAGTCTTGTGTACAGTAGCCAAAATACTTTGATGTTTTGGTAATCCAAATATGTTGTGGTTTTGGCCCAGGGCCTGCTGTCTGCACCTCTGGGAGCAGTGCTGCTTGAATTACTTGGTGAATTCTGTGCTGCTGTCTTCTCTTCCAGTCGGGGGCAGTGAATCTCTGCGTTCATACTGGAAGATGTACTTGCCCAAAGTGCTGCTGCTGGTCTATGTCGTGGACTCGGCTGATCATGCCAGACTGCCTATGGCAAAACAGCTGCTTCATCAACTAATCCAGAACAACTCCACCCTGCCTGTGGTAGTTTTGGCCAACAAGCAGGTAAGAGTTCCCTGCTGCTGCCACAGCTTGGGCTGGCAGCAACTTTGGAAACAGCAACAAAGCCTCTTTCAAGAGAGGCTTAATGCCTTTAAGGAGGGCATAAGGCTGGGAGTCTTTCTGACACACCTGTTGACCACAAAACAAAAGAATCTGAGGTTGTTTTGGATCTGCAAAATGCAGGTCCTGTGCTTGGTGAAGATGCAATCAGAGCTGTGGGTGGAAACTGCTGTACAGTTGCAAGGTTTGGGAGGTTCAAGGGAGACCACAGTTAGATCTGAAGTTAGGTTTCTGTTCTGAGTATCTGCCTAGAGGTACCACTTCACCTAGCAGCTAAAACGTGAAGCACTGTTGTTTGCCTTCAGACTGTCTGGTTGGTTGCTGCTAAAGCTGCTTCTGAAATCTGAGAGAAAGAGCAGCTTTCCTCACAAGGCAGTGCTTCCCCCTAAGATCTTTGTGGAAATCTCAGTGATTGGTGCTGTACCTGGAAAAGAATTGGGCCTCTGGTACAATCAGATGACAGAAGGGCCCAAGGGTTTTAATCACAGATTCTTTTCTGTCAAGGTTGTATGCTCAGTTTGCTCTACATTGTTACCTCCTAAATTTCTAGTAACTGAGTCCCGTTCCTGGTAGTCATTTATGTTACTCCTGAACACAAGTTCAGGCTTGGGTTTCATCAGACTCAAATGGATCAGAAACACTGGTGTCTGAGAAGGTAAGCAGGGCATGACTGTTGTATATTTGCCCTATTCTTGTAACTCTTTGCTGGGCACCTGGGGTCTTGGGCCATCTGTGCTTTTGTCTGCCTTGTGCAGGTGGTCTTAGATATCAGAAACAGTGGAATTAGTGTAGAAATAGAAAACTGTACCCATATTTCTTCAGGAAGAAATTAGGTTAGAAATTAACTCTTTTCCCCAAGGCATTTTAGGACATGGGAAGTGACCTCATAAAACGTACATAAGAATGGTGCCCCAGAGCCTTTGGGACTCTTTCCCTCCCTGGACAAAAGCAGTGGCTCAAAGTAGGAATGGTGCCACCACCTCTTGCAACTAACAGGCTTGTTTTATTTTTGTGTAACAGGACCTCGAAGGTGCATATTGCATCACTGATATTCACGATGCTCTGGCTCTGTCTGATATTGGGGACCAGAGGAAGATGTTCTTGATTGGTACCCATGTGGCAGAAGATGGCTCTGAGATCTCCTCCAGCATGAAGGATGCCAAGGAGCTGATAGGGCAGCTGGTTTTGGAAACACAGTGACAGCTCTTTTCTTACAACATGGTGTCTGCAGCTGAGGGAGAGCAGGTGTTAGTATATGGTCAGTTTGCTTGTGTGGCAGCTGAAATGAGCAGATATGCTTTCCTGGTGGGTGTGGAATTCCTCTTAAAGTGGTATCTAGTTGGTAAGGAAATCTTAATTTATAGTGGTTTGAAAATACATTTGAGAAGTGGTCTATTTTTAGCATATTTGTAGGAGAAAAATAGTCTGTCTCTCAGGCAGCAGATTTAAGGGAAAATATAGCTTATGGGTTAGATAATTTCATGTCAGGTAGGAATCAAGCACTGACTTCCATGGAAGAAAGTTGCATCTAGTGAATTTAACATGGCTTGATGTCTCAGGTTAAAGTGAAATATGTTTACTTCACAGATTTTACAGAACCCTTCCAACAGTGGTGTTCTGTTAAAAATGAGTCCTCCCTTCTTGACAGTGTCAGAAATTTAAAGTGCTGCAACTAGTGTTTTTGACATGACAATTCTTGCTGCTGTGTTGGACCCAGTTGTTATGAGAGTGGCAAACTGGTAATCTCTGGAAATTGGGTTGGTTACTGTTTCTTCAGTGGGTAAGGACAAGAAAATGAAAGCAGTAATATATTAACTGTTTCTTTGCCTACAGGCAAAAGACCAAAATGGTGTAATTAGAGGTAGTGACTGGATGCTTTTAATTTAAATTGGCAGCAAAGGTGGAAGACTCGTCCATCAGGTTGAGCAGCTTATTTTAAGCTTAGTCCGAGATGTCCTCGAGCAAGTAGTCTTACTTGTGAAAACCCTGTTGTTTCTTGACAGTGGTTTCTGTTAGCATAGTAGGTGAGGAAGGTGACAAGCTGCTGAGGAGTGTCACTTTCCCAGTGTCCTCCTAATTATACTCAAAGGACATGACCCAGGAGCTGTCCTGTAAAGGACCTGTTTTGCACCTGCATCTATTGTACGAGGCTTCTATAGTTTTGTCCTTTGTAACAGATGCATAAAGCAGAAAATTCCACCCTAACCACTGGTCCGGACTGTTCTCTTCTCTTCCAGTTGGGGAGCAAGATGTTGGGGTGCGGGAGGCTCCCGAGGCCTCCCTGGGACGGCCAGCATGACAGGGGTGCTTGTCACCCGTGGGCAGAGGCCGGGCCCGAGCGGCCGTGCCCGGGCCCGCCGCGGCCGGGCGGGGCGGGCGG